GGGCCGCCCGGCGCGTCCCACTGACTCGGGGTTCTGTGTGCTCCCTCGCACAGGTGAGGCTGCCGGCCATTCACACGAAGCCCCCCAGCAAAGCGGGGACCCCGCTGGGCCCCAGGGACCCGGCAGGAGGGAGACTCTCCTTCCCACCCATGTGAGTGCACGGGCGGCGCCCACGCAGTCCGGGGCCCATCGGGGTTTGGTCTGAGGTCCCCGTGGCAGCGGTGACGGCGAGGTGGCCCCCACAGCCCGGCCTGCTTGCCTCCTGTCTGTGCCCTGCATGGGCACTGTCCCCGCCACGTCTTTGTCCAGCGGCCTCTCGGTGTGGACGCCGGACTCCCCGACAAGCCGCTCTGTGCGCTGTGGGTCCTGCCCGAGAGCCTCGCCCCTGCCCGCGTGCTGCTCGGTCCTGACGTAGTGTCGCGAGGCCCGGCCCTGCCGGCCGAGCTGCGTTCTCTGGCTCTGCTTTGAGCTGGAAAACCTGCAAGGTGCTCGGGCATTTTAATCTCCCAGCCAGAGGGTGAGGTCCCGAGGCCCCACTTCCCTCCCGCTGCTTTCCCAGGACCCTAGGTAGAGCTGGGGTGGATGCCGGCCACTGTCCAGTTCTTCACACAGCTTCTCGTCCAGTGCGGAGAAAAACGAGCCATCAGTTAGTTACCTTGTCTGTGACGGACACCATGAGAGCACCACGCTCAGACGGGGGTTGAGGGGGAAGCCGCGTAGATGTGTGTGTGTGGTCACCACGCTCAGACGGGGGTCGGAGGGAGGCCGCGTAGATGTGTGCGTGTGGTCACCACGCTCAGACGGGGGCAGGGGGGAGGCCGCGTAGATGTGTGCGTGTGGTCAGAGGTGGCAGCGACGCTCATGACTACGGCGGCGTCCACGGGGGACGCCAAGCTCCAGCCGCGTCCACACCGGGCCGGGTTCCGATGAGGCCTGCACAGATGCGGACGCGAGTGACGGGGAAAGCAGAGCGGGGTCCCTGACGTGGGCACAGAGGAAGCCGTTCGGAAAGCTCCTGCTGCAGAGTGACAGGCCGGGCGGCCAATGCCACCCAGGGAAGGGGCGGGGTTTTCTGAGCAGGAACGTCGGGACAAAGGTAGACGGGTTCTTGCCATGTACGAGGAAGACCTGGAAGTGTGCTGAGTCGGGCTTAGAAATGGCGGGAGAGAAACAGAAACAGAGAGAGAGAGACAGAGAGAGAGAGAGAATTTTATTTCTGTAAAAGTTGATACCTGCCTGTCTTTTTTATAATGCAGACTGAAAACTTTCCCTATCATGTACCATGAGTTATCCAGATATATGTTATATATTATAATATCTGTAAAATATCTCTGTATATCTCTATCTATCTATCATCACCTCATCTATCTACCTACCTATCATAGGGTAGAGTGGAGGAGCAGTGAGAGAGACAGAGAGACAGAGAGAGAGAGACAGGGACAGAGAGAGACAGAGACAGAGAGAGACAGATGGCGAGAGAGACAGACAGAGAGAGAGACAGAGAGACAGAGAGAGAGATAGACAGACAGACAGACAGATCTCCATCATGTCCTGAGGGACAGCAAGCCCCTGATTTACTGTCCGCCTGTCTGCCGAGCAGCCTTCGGGAAGTTCATCAACCTTCATACTTAAGTCTGATGTTGATTTTTCTCTTCTTGAGGCCTGGCCTGAAAACGGGTTCACCCACAAACTTTTCCAAGCTTATCAGCAATGGCTACAGGGACGAGTGGTTACAGCAGCGAGGCCACGCAGACGAGGGCGCCCCGCAGGTGTCCGGAGCACCCGCGACGCCCCAGTCCCCGCGGGACCCTGCAGAGCGCGAGGAGGCCCAGCAGCCGCCCAGCCCCGAGGCCCCCCAGGGCCCCCAGGCCCCTGCAGAGGCTCAAGGTGAAGTGCGCCCAGACAGCCACGCACCCCGAGGCCCGCTCGCTGAGCTGGCGCCGCTTTCCCCGTGTCATTGTGGGTCTGTGACGAGCGCTGTAAAAGCCGTGTCACACACCTGTGGGTGCCACGGTGACAGGTGCACACGAAGACAGCGTGTGCTTTGCTTCCCCCTCTATTCAGATGAATAGCGAAAGTCACGGTCCCTGTGGCTTCCCCTCCAATCCCCCCAATGCTGGTGTGCCAAACGACACACGCACCAGGTACTGTCACTTTTAGTCTCCCGGATCCGAAAGACGCCGACCCGCAGCGCTCGAGGTCTGCGCCGGTCCTTGGACAAGAGCGCGCAGTTGAACTCGAAGCCCCCACTACCAGCATTTCCTAAACTCCGCTTTGGACTCTGGAACCTCTGGTTAGAGGTTCAGGACGCTGTTAGCTTCGAGTTTCAGCAGCCGGTCACAGGTGGACTGGGTCTCACTCTGGGCACCGTCCACTCTGAGATGACACGCACGGGGTTTAGTTTCTGTGGCTCCAGGAATTATTACCTTTGCCAGGAGGCAGCTCATGTTACTCTCGAGGCTTCATTCCTTGGCTTAGGCAGGGAGGAGGCACACTCTGCCCTTTCCAGCATCAGGCGTGTTTCCTGAGACACGTCGTAAGCGTGACCCTCGGTGGCCTTTCCACATCCAGCTCCCCACTCCGGGGGCAGCGCCTCCGCCAGTCAGGCCCCATGCTGGCCCGGCCCATTCTGTGGGTGACACACCCTCTTGGAGTCCATCGTCTTGGTGGCCACAAGACAAGTTCACCCCCGGTGAGCCCCACAAAGGCAGTCGTGATGTCGTGTCTTGGGACTTACCGTTTTAAGTGATACAGCCTTTCACTAATTCTTTAATTACTGAAACTACTAATTCTTTTAATACTGGTCTGTTTCATTAAATTGAGCAACTGATGTGCTTGTTCTTTATTTCAGAGTCTTCTCCAGCAAGTGAGTATTTGTAGAGACACCAACTTGCATTGAAATACTAAAATGTCCCCCAGAGAAATCGATGGACAGTTTTCAGACCAGCAGTGGGGCCCTGGGCAGCGGGGGCCCTGGGCAGCGGGGCCCTGGGCAGTGGGCCACCCCTCTCCAATCTGCAAGCGTCCTGACTGCAGAAGCCGGCCGGCCGCGCTGTCAGAGAGTCAGAGTTCTAGACGCACGATTTAGGGGCAGCGGAAGAAGAACCACTTACGTTGTCGCAAGATCATTTTGTCCTTTTATGCACATTACACAAAACAAAGCACAGTCTAGTTGGGAGACGTGCATCGTGTCCCACGATGGGACAGATGCGGGTCTAGGTGACGGAAGACCGACGTGAAAAGCCCGCGGCTGGGAAACCAGAACGCGGAGGCCAGGGGCTCACCGGCGTGGGATGGTTTAGGATTTTTAGCATAATTTTTCTGCGTGGTGTTCCGTAGATAGAATTTGCTTTGCCACCGACGAAACATAGGACCTAGTCAAGGAACTGTCGTTGGACAGCTGTATAAGCCTGTCAACTTCGATCGGGAAATAAGTCAACGCACGTGTTCTCTCCGTGCATCTCAACGAGCAGCCAGACCTGCCTCACCTCAGGGGAACACTCCCCGTTCACGATCAGGGAACCAGGACGTGAGCGGACGATGGCGAGGTCCAGAGCTGCAGACGGCTTCTCCGGAGCGTTCCGGGTGGAAGGGGCGGGCGTGCTCCGGCTCGGCTGTTGTTCATCGAGGGAAAAGGCGAGACGCACAGGCGGTGGCACAGGCGGTGGCACAGGCGGCAGAGGAGCAGCGTGTGCGGCCGCTGTTAGACGGGACGGGAATTCCGGCGCGGGCAGGGCCCGAATTTCTGAAGTGACACCTTGGTGACCAGAGAAGGCAGGTCTGCCCGAGAATCCCGTCCTGCAGACCACGTCTTAACATTTCTTTCCCTCCTCAAGACCCAGGATGATTTGTTTCTCACCGCGGTTTCTGCGGCCGCTCCAGAAGCGCGTGGCCCGCCGGACGCAGGCGGCAGGCGCCTGGCACGGCCCGTTCTCTGACAGCCGGCATTAGTGCAGGTGCACGGGACTCGGCGTCCGCAGACGAGAGCCAGCGGCCCCCTTAGGCTGAGCCACCTCCCAGCCGCCCACACGGCGCGGACGTGGTGCCCACCCCGTGGTCCGGCTGAGCGCCTGGGGGTCACAGAGCCCCTCAACACGTGCGTGCCGACCCGATCCACTGCGGTCTGGCCGGGCGCCAGTGGGGAGGGTCCCCAGCCTACGGTCTGCACCTGCGGGCGGAACCGTGCGCTCAACTTCCCAGTAGACTTCAGGAAAAATCCTTACACGCATGCACAGAAACCTGTGTTTTCTTCCATTTAAAATTAATGGTTAAATGTTTTAATTTATGAAACGCCACCTCGCCTGTCCGCTCAGTCACCAGCTGACGTGTCCGCCTTCCGTTGCAGGTCGCGCAGCCTCTCCGCCCGCCCCGGCGCCCGCCCCGGAGCCCCAGTAGACCCGAGGCAGGCAGGCGGCGCTCAGGGGTGCTCCCGCGGCTGACTGTCACAGCTCCCCCGACACGGCTCCCGGCACCGTCCTGAGCACGGACTCGTGAGAGGGTTTCTCAGCAGATCGGACGTCACCGTCGCACAGGGGGGGTCGGGGGTGGGTTTTGCTGCCTGCGTTTCTGGGACGCGAGGTGGCCCCGCTGTCCTGGCACGGCCTGTGTCTTGGGACCAGCCACTTCCTCCCCGTCAGCTGACGTCACCGGCCGCGTGTCCCTCCCACTGGCATCCCTGCTGAATCTGTCGCTGAGACGAGACCAGGAGAAACTCGCAGACTTTTCCATCGTTTGGCCCTGGAGCCTGTGTAGAAATAATTTTTCTGTTACAAAAAAAATAATTCCAGAATATTGTGATCTAGTTTATATTAAGAAAAAGCTTAGTTTATTATGCCTTAAAGTTTTAAACATTTAGTACTAAAGCATTGGAGCATGTACTTGTTTTAAATTTTTGCTCGTATCATTTTACATAAAGTGAAATCTCTAATATTAAAAACCATTTATTATTTTTATCCTTTAAGTAAAAATACGTATAATTTTAGTGTTTAATTTAGCCTTCACAAAAATTTATTAATAATCGGATTGAATTCTCTTGTTTTATAAATTGTTACTGTTTACATGCAAATAATTAGCACTAAAATGTGATTTTATATTTTGTACATTTAATTCGATAGTAAAATAATAATTTTCTGCTGGAAGATTTTCAGAAAGCTAAATAAGGTCACAGATATTTTCGTGTCTTTCGCAAAGTAAACTTATCATGAGCTTGCTCACCTAAAATTTAGACGTTTTAAGTTCTTCAAATGAGAGACTTCCTTGGGCACATGCATCTGGACGGCTTGGCCAACGGTTAGCATGGGGAATACGCAACGTGGGAGAGAAGGTGAGGGGCGATGCGCTTGAGTAAGGGGACGCGGCATCGTGGCAACGTGGGAGAGGAGGTGAGGGGCCATGCGCCTGAGTAAGGGGGCGCGGCATCGTGGCAAGACGTCTGCCTGTTTTCTTCCTTCCCCTCTTCTGTCCTCCGCCGCAATTCCAACCTCATTCTCAAACGCCCCCATTCGAAGGAAAAACCCTTAGGAGCAGATGTCCGCAGCTTACGACTCCTTAATTCTTTCTTACGTGATTGGCGTAACAGACACCTGTGGATGAGAGAGAGGACAACATTTGGAGCGAGGACCCGCGGTCAGACCTCGGCTCCGTGTCGGGCGGCCAGGGTCCATCAGTGAGAAAGCCATTCCCGCAGTGAACTTTCTGCTTGTAAATGCAACACACACACGTCACGAAAACAAAAAGCTTGCAAATTCCATGCACCACTTCTGACGTAAATGACTTGTTTCCAAAAGATAAAAATATTGCAACGTCATATTAAATAAAAATTGTCAGTTAAAACCCACAGTCCCCACGCTTAGTTAAATATGCATTTTGCGTTACGTGTGCCCACGTGCACGCGCAGCCTCCCAGTGCCCCGACATTTCCGTGGGGACGTCTGGCGACCTCACTCACCACAGCATTAGCTCGTGGAGCTGGGCTCTGAGCCCCTGCCCCGCTGTCGGAAGCGTAGGCCACTCCCCTGCAGGGCTGTTGCGGGCACCGGTCAGTGGTGGGAATGGAAAATGGGATCGGTGGGTGGAAGTGAGGAGGGACCCTCAGGCAGAGGTTCCGGCCGAGCCCGCACTCGGGACCTTCGCTGATGGCCGGCCAGGGTACCGGGGCATCGGTACCGAGGCGTCGTGCGTGGGGAATGTGACCAGGCACCAGGCGCCTTGGTCTCAGCTCGTGCTGCGAATCCAGAATCGACAGACCGGGCAGTTCACAGACTATCGACATTTATCTCTGTCAGGTCTGGGGGCCGTAAGCCCGAGCTCCAGGAGCCAGCAGGGTCGAGCTCCCGCCCGGCTCCCTGTCACCGCCTCACGCAGTGGACGGGCGGAAGGGAGCAAGGTCACGGTGACATCCAGCCCTCGCACCCCTGAAGGCCCCGCCTCCTAACACCATGGACTTGTGGGTAGGGCTTCGACAAATGAGTCTGGGGGCACAGATATTTGGTCCATAACGCTAAGGATGGGAGATATTCACTAAAACGACTCAGCGGGATTTTTGAGATCCGGACCCGCAGGCAGGAGGTGGGGCCCAGCGAGAAGGAAGACTTGGGAGCCTGGCTCAACTGTGGTCCGAGGAGAGACGGTGCCAGGACCCGATTAATCCACAGGTTTTCGGTATTTCCTATCGAAATCCCAGTATGGTCTTTGCAGACGTAGACAAGCTTATTCTAAAATTTACATAGAAAACACAGGCCTAGGACCAGCTAAACCAACCTAATCAAGAAGAAGCAAGTAGGAAAATCACTCAGCCCAGTACAAAAATCCACATGGCCTCCCGGTTATAAAACACTGCAGTGTTGACACATCGGTGACTAGAGGAGAATAGAAAACCCAGAAATGACCTCGCGACCGTGCTCGACTGATCCCGGCAAAGGCACAGTGGACGAGGAACAGCCTCCCGACACGTGATGCTGGACCACTGGACAGAGACAGAACAGAAGCTTTACCCACCCGTCACACCTAAAACCGAATCATGAACTTCGCTGTAGAACGTCAGATTATAAAGCTTTTATTCCTAAAAGCTTTATAATCGACAGCGAAAGTGAGATCTAGCTAGACAAGAGAAAGCCGATAAATCGATCATCAAAACAAAAACCATGTCTGCGAAAGCTCGCGAGATGTGTAAACAGACAAGCTACAGATTGGGGAAAAATATCTGCAAACGACGTAGCCAACAAAGAACTTGCGTCTAGAATACACGAAGATTTTATAGGAATAAAAGCTTTATAATCGACAGCGAAAGTGAGATCTAGCTAGACAAGAGAAAGCCGATAAATCGATCATCAAAACAAAAACCATGTCTGCGAAAGCTCGCGAGATGTGTAAACAGACAAGCTACAGATTGGGGAAAAATATCTGCAAACGACGTAGCCAACAAAGAACTTGCGTCTAGAATACACGAAGATTTTAAATCTCAACAAGAGCAGCAGAAAAAACAAGCAGTCCCGTTGGAAAATCGGGGAAAGACACGAACAAAAATTTCACCAAAGAGAGTAACGGACGTCGATAAGCGCTGCAGAGACTCAGCATCAGCAGCCACCAGGGATGCACAAGCGAACACCACGCCGAGACCCGATCCCGGCCAGCAGAAGGACGGACAAGCAAGGACAAGCAAGGACACCAGCCACTGGTGAGGCTTCGGAGAAAACGCATCTCACACCCGATTCCTGTGGGAACGTAAATATGACGCCCGCCCGGGGAAGCAGTCTGGCAATTTCTCGTAAGATTAAATACGTAATCACCACACAACCCGGCAACGACTCTCCTGGCGTTTTCCCAGACAAATGAACACTTTCGGTCACACAAAACCGCGTATGTTAAGCTTCACGGCAGCTTTATTCTCAACAGCCTCAAACTGGAAACGGCCTGGGCATCTCTCAGCAGGTGGACGGCTGGGCAAAGTGGCTCCTGCACGTTGTGGGACACAGCTGGGCAACAGGAAGGAGCCGGCCCCTGGCAGGTGTGATGTGGACGGAGCTCCCGCGGATCCTATTGGGTGGGAGAAGTCGCTTCCCACGGTGTAGACGCTGCATGTTCCCGTGTGTATAGTGTTTTTAAAATGACACATTTAAAAATGCTGGGCAGGTTGGTGGGTGCCCGGGCTTAGGGGCGGGGGTGGATGTGGGGATGTGGGGAGGGAGGTGGGCGTGGCTGTCAGGGTGACATGGGTCCTCTGGGTTGTGGGCCGTGGGGTATCTTGATCGTGGTGGCACACACGTGACCGTGCCGTACAGAGTCAAACACAGGATGAGGGGAGACCTGGGGGCCCTGGGGAGCGCTGGGGGGCCGTGTTTGTGTCCCGCCCCAGTCTGACGCCCTCTCTGGTTCTGCACGATGTCCCCAGGGGGGAACTGAGTCGGGGCTACGGGTGATCCCTGCATGATCTCTTACGACTCTGTCTAGTCCGTCAGAGCACACCGGGCGGCTCACGAACACAGACACTTATTTCCCTCAGTTTGGGAGGCTGCGCGTCCGTGATCAGGGCGCCGGCAGACTTGGTGTCCGGTGAGAATCCCCTTCCCGGTTCACTGTGTCCTCGCGTGGCAGAAGCGGTGAGGGCCCGTCTGGGGTCTCCTCTAAGGGCACTGAGCTCATGCATGTGTGAGGGCTCCACCCTCCGGACCGAGGCACCTCCCGAAGGCCCGCGTCCTGCTGCCCTCACTTAGGGGGGGGTGATTTAATGTGTGAATTTGGGGGACATTCAGTCCAGTCTCATACAGTTATCTCAGCAAAAGTTCAGTTTTCTCAATAAAAATTCCATTCAATAATTGCAATGGGGCAATGGTCTGGAATTTGGGGGCACTGGGATGGGGCCGGAGGGCAGGGCTGGCTCTCGGGCGGGTGGCCTTTCAGTTGGGACTAAATGAGGAAGAACAGGCCGCTCGGGCCGAGTGACCAGCGCCAAGCACACAGGCCTGAGCAGGAGCTCGGTATGTTCAGAGGACCTTAGGGTTGACGGACAGACGGACGGAGGGGCGCTGGTGGGGGCGGGGCATGGTCACCTGAGGGCACTCAACCCTCGCAGTGCCCCCTCCCCCCCATGTTTCCTGAGCTGGTTCCCTGCTGCCCTCCCCAAAGGGACCGGCCGATCTCAGTTCCCCCTGCACGTGTCTGAGGGTTATCTGTGGCAGCCTCACCTGCTTTTAAAAGCAGCAGCCCTCGCAGGGGTGTCTGGGGTGCTGGCTGGTTCTACACAATGAGTGACAGCTGGAAGGATACGGTAATTTGACGAGAACCCACCAATCACTCCGCACTTTGCGCCCTGCCTGGCCTGCAGGCCCTGCAGAGTCTGCCTCGCTCGCATCCAGTAGCTGGAGGTCAGGTGGACTGCAGCTGCCTGCAGAAGGCCAGCGCGGCGAGCCACAGGGCCAGTGACAGCAGGGGGGTCGCGGTGGGCTGAGCGCCGGGGGTTGGGGGGAGGCTCCCCTCGCTCGTGAGTGGCGGGGAGTTCCCACGCCAGGCGATGCCTTAGAAGGGAGGCCGCCAGGTGGGGGGCGGGTGGAACCAAGTGCCCATGGGCCAGGGGCCGCACGGGGCCGAGTGACGCTGCGCACCCTCCTGTGTCCTCTGCGTTCGGTGTCCCAGAGGCCCTGTGCCTACCTGCTGGGACGTCCCCCTTAGGTGACCACAGCATCTGGCCAGCGACGCTCCTGCAGGTGAAGACCAAGAGCGCAAGGCGTCTCGCGTCCAGCTGGGGCTGGGGCCACTTGTCACTGTTCCAGTGCGTAGTCTGAGTCCCGCTGTGACAAAGGTGCCTGGCCTCCCACAGGTGACGCCGAGCGCCTTTCTCCTCCATTCTGCCTCATTCACGATCAAAACGCTGGCCGTGGCCGTGAACTGCGTGGGTCCCTGACCCACTGGCCAGCCTGCGGCTGTGACAAACGCCGTTCCTGAGGTTTCTCCCGCCCCGGACAGCCCCTGGGACGGAAAGGGAGAGCAGCGGGCACCCGGGACCGGACGAGCCAGAGCAGCGAGGAGAAGCCTCAGTGAAGGTCTCTGAAATAGTCTCAGCTTGGGGAGATTTCTGGTCATCGGAATCACTCTGGGTTCTGGGAGCCTGGAAGGACTGGGTGTCATTCTTCGGTGTGGCCGGCCTGGGCTGAGTGACCCATCCTGGGATGGCCTGGCCTGGCCTGAGGACTGTGTCCGGGGCTTTTCTGCCTGTAGCAGCTGCTGCAGGGGGTGGGGGCCTGTTGGGAGCTCGGCTCAACAGCTGTGGTTTATAAAGGGCCGGGCGCAATTTTGTTTCCAGACAGCCACATTCACAGTTTTGCCTTGACAACTAAGTCTTCAGCCTTCACCTGTCCACTTCACCTGCGGCCTCGCGGAAATGAAGGACAGCGTCAGCGTCGAACACCGGGCCACTGCGGCCCCTTCCCAGTCCCGGGCAGAGCGCTGCCTCCTGCCTGCCCTCTGGGGGGAGCTGCAGGGCCGCGGGGGTCAGCAGCTGTCTGGGTTGGGCCGTTCTGCAGTCACAGCCGGTGACCAAAGGGATGAGTCACTTCCTCTCCCTGCGCCGGCGGCTCCCGGCGTTCCCGCAGCTACTGAGCTCCCGGGGGTCAGGAAGGTCCCAGAAACACGTCCCAAAGGGGAAACCGAGGCCGGAGAGAGCAAGGACCACAGCGGCCACGGCCCGGGCCCATTCCCGACCCCGCCCTGGGAGGCCCCGCAGTCTTTCTCGCGGCCCGTCCACCCGGCGCTCGGGCGGGACACCTGCAGACCGACCTGCGCTCCGGCGCGAGCCAGCGGCGACGGTGACGGTGGGTGGTCGTCTGCCATAGGTGGGAGGGAACTGGGTGAGAGGGGCTGCGAGTGGCTTGGCAGGTCCCCGGGGTGGGCCAGGTGTCGCGCCGCGGGCGTCCGCGGGGAGGAAGGCGGGGCGGGCGCGGTCGCAGACTGGGATCCGAAATTCGCTTCGCTCTTGGTCACGTCCCGGGACC